AACTGTAAAGACAAGAAGATTGAGATTCCTTCACTCAACAGAAACAGTCTCTATATAAAAGTGCAGCAGACAAATCATCACCACACTCGTAGGGCACAAATCATTGTGTTTATGAAATTTATTACAGTGACTATATGAGTGCATTACCTCATAGAACAGTCCCTCTGGAAACTGCTGGAAACATTGAGCACACACAAAGCAGTGCTCATGGTACAGCTCTCCATTACTATTGACAATCTTCTCCGTCGCAGCGAAGCCACTCTTGCATCGCTCACAGGCTGCATTGGCCAGGGCATTAGCGATGCTGTTGCACGAGACAAGAAAATACATATTAGTGCATCACTTCCCCAGAGTTCCTGTGAAATGTTAGGCTGACCAGTGTTTAACATTTCTCACATAACTCCTACATTAAGGAGCTGAGCCTGTTTCAGCAGCTGTCACTGCGGAGAATGGGAGTAATATATGAATCAGCTTGGGGAACTCAGTAACACTTACTCACTGCACAGTCATCACCTAATTTGGTAAAGGAAGATGGAGGTACAGAAACCTAGCTGAGAGCCTTTTCCAACACACACACACACACACACACACACACACACAGTTACTAACAAACTGATTAATAACAACAAGACTCAGATTCCAGCTTTATCAATATTAAGCTCAATGTCCACAAGTGTCTGTCAGTATTTTAGAATAGTTCAAGGGAGATGATGACTTGTGTGAGGCTTCTTGTGAAACATAGCTAGCGTTAAAGATGTTAAAGTTAAGTTTACTAAAATAAAAGTAGCTGACCCAACAAAACTTAATGTTACTTTGTCCCCAGTATTGGTAAACTATGCAACAGTTGCAGCCTTTAAGTTATTTTTAATCAATCACGGTCATATTTGAACAGCCATAAAACACATGTAAGTTAAATAAAGGGGCGTAATAATTCACATAACGTTAATGTTGATGTTAATAATTAGCGAAGAAGGAAATGTGGCAAGTTAATTGGACTAATCGCTAACACAGCTAACTAGCATGCTAACAGTTAGTTAGCTCCAAAAAGGGGTTAAAGTTAATTACCTAAGTATAATATCTTAACTGCAACTTAAAAACCAAGCTTTAAACTGTTGCCGTGGAACAAAATATGTATTATTAAATTGCTGGTGGCTTTCAAAAGCTATTCTAGCGTAGCGGCTAGCTAACTTTAGCCACTCCGGTTGGCCATTTAATCCGACGTTAGCTTTAGCTGGCTGGCTGAAGTTAGCGGTTGTGTGTGTTTGCTACCAACACAAACTCCTCACCTGCCCGTCATTCCGGCCACACCCAGCATCACCTCTTGAAACCACGGTTGTACAAACGCAGTCAGCTGGTGGTGTGTTAATTCCTGTCGCCGAGGTACCGACGTCGTTTTCAGGGGAAACACAGTCGTCTTGCACCGTGTCGTCCCCTCCCAGCGGAGCCGTCCTGTGCCTCAGCTGGCAGCGCCTTCAGGGGCGGGCAGGCAGGCCAACCACTTGGGGAGTGTCCCATGGAAGTTAAACATCACCAGCTTTCTAAATCTGATACTCCAGACTGTCCTAGATTGGTTTGGATTTTAAAAAAGCCTCTTCATACTGGATTACAGTCAGGACACGTCCATACAAAAACCTGATATGGGCTGTTTTCTATTGTTTTACCATAATGTATTTATTTAATCAGAACTAGTATTTTTTTAATATGAAATAACAGGTGTAGGATAATTTCCATATACATTTTTAAAGAAATCAACAGTGTAGTGAGAAGACTAAATTAAAAAGAGCTTTTTGTAAACTTAACGCAGGTAAATACAATCAGGTGGCACAAAATTGTTTGGGGAAGAGATTTGGCTGCACTGATTGAAACAGATCAAACCAGGTCAGTTTAGTCTAACCAAAGTGAACCTATATAGATCAATCATGCACAAATATATATATATATATATATATCAAAAATGCAATATGGCCAGGTGCAATATCCAACCTGCAGAAGCCATTTGTTTGATATAGGTAAAATGTGACAAACAGCATTATAATAAAGTACTGTAGTGCTGCAGAGATGCCTTGGCCTACAAATGTTGTTCTCCAGATTTAAGAAAACAAGTTTGTTCGGCACAGATCAACAAATGTCACACCGTCATAATTTTAATAGGTTTTTTTTGTGATGAATAAATTTGTTTTGCAAAACAATCGTGAATCATATATCTGTCAAAATAATTGAAATATTTTCACCAGACGGTCAGGAGACTCAACTCCCTCCCTGCTCTACCCCCACTTCATCATATCTTAGATAATATCATTTCAGTTTCGAATATTTTTCAAAAGACAATTGCCTGTATCACCTGTGTGTTCTATATATGTAGCCTACAAAACAAATGTTTCTAATAAATGTGAATCATGGACTATTTGATTAAAATATATGTCTATATATGTAAACATTTATAACTCATTATCATATACAGTATGTTTATGTCCGGCCATATATCAGATTCTGGATATGTCAGTCAGTTTTTATTTATGTGATATTTACCACAAATCAAATTCCTGGGCTGCTTATTATTATGTTGTTATTATTGATTCAAAGATCTCTCTTCCTGTAAATCCAATATCTAGTACAAAGAGATGAAAAAATGAAACTTTGCTGCTGCTGCTGCTGCTGCTGCTGCTGCTAGGTATGCAGTACAAAAGAGCCAAAGTCAGGCCTCTTGTGTCCCTGATTTATTACTTGCCCTCTGGGTTTATGTTCTTATGACTTCAGTGCTGTTTGACAGCTGACTGAAACAAACAAAACTGTAAACTGGATAGCTGAATAATGGAGGAATAATGTGTAACCAGCAATCCGACTTCCATCAGCTCCTAGTCCAAACCTGAGGATCTATACCAGCATTTCTCCTGTTTAACTTATTGTCCTTTTAAATCCTGAGACTTACATTTTTAATTAGCTGTGGGCGGAACAGGAGACAGCACTAAAGTTATTTCTTTTATCTGATTTCATTTAATGGAGCTATTGTTTGAATGTGCCCTGTCTTGCTTCTGCCTGTTTTTATGTCCTCATGTTTACCGTTGTTTATATACCTTCTTGGAAAGCACTCTGCTTGGTCAGTAAGTGCAGTATAAATACAGTTTACTTGTATTGTATTCCATTTTTATTCCTTTTCTCTGAAATGATCCAATTTCCTCACAGGGATTTTTTAAAGCTTAATATAAACATTTCAACTGGCATACATGGTGGAATTAAAATTAGTTAACTCCCATCGTATCCTATACACAGTTGTATTTTTTCTACATAGTAATATGAGTTATGTTTATTCCCTTTTCACTGTAAATAAATCATATAATAAAATAATAATATAATTAAACAAAATGTAATGTGTGACCCATGAAGATTTAAAGGGCAGAGGGTGAGAGCTCTGTAGGAGGCAAACAAAAGAGCTATAGAAGGCTATAAAAGCAGTACAGAGAAGAATAAAGAAAAACAGTACATTTCTGCCATTATTGTTGGCACAAAAGTCTACTTTTCAGGAATGAACAAAAGCTTCATTTAGAAAAAATCATTGTGAATAGACTTCCTCCTGTTAGTCAGTCTCAAACAAAAGTCCACTTTGACATATGAAAATCATTTTTGAAGGTTTTATACGTTTTTTATTTGATCAGGCACAATGAAATGATTAGCAGGGGAAAAGTTCACTTCGCCCAATCTGACAGGGTGCTTTCATATTTATATAAAGGACTCCCTTAACTGAAAGATCCTCTAAAAAAAAGTCTAACTGCAAGGTCATACCGCTTATTATCCGAATTATAAAAGTACCATACATGTCCTTAGGTCACTTGTACTCGATGAAGAGTTAGGAGACCTGGATTACTTACACAGCAGAATCGATTGATGAATGACACCATTATATCTTTGGGTCTTTTTGCTTTAATTGGATAGGACAGCTGAAGACTGACAAGAAAAGGGGAAGAGAGAGGGGATAACACGCAGCAAAGGGCAACAGGTCAGATTCGATCTCATGGCCACTAGAGCAAGGACCTTGATACGTGGGGTTCAAGCTCTTCCAGGTGAGCTATAGAGCACACCATCTGCTGTGAGGTGCTTGTAAATAACTTGACAGCATACTAATCCTCATCTGATTCTAATTTCTCAAGTTATAGAAATGTGATATTGATTGCGACAGTCAGCAAAATCAAAAATAAGATGCAAGAAACATGTAATGATGACAAATAACCCTCAGAAATTAAGCGAAAGTCTGACTTCAGGAGTTCAGATCCTAAATTGTATTGTCGCTCTCATTTTCCATTACTGGGGAAGTAAGATGGAGAAGGTAAATACAGTCCAGACAGCTAGAAACATAATTGAGTTAATTCTCAACTACAGAAATTAGTGTCTGAGATGTTGAGGAATCAACACACACCTGCAGAATTCAAGTTTGACTTGTTAAAACAAACTAAGGCCACAAATCAGCTAAGTTGCTTTCATCAAGACTGCCATAAAGGATATTGTCTGCTTTAAAACTGAACAAGCTTTCACTGGGTTAATCCTATTTCACTAAGATTAAAGCAAAAACAAGAGCCTGTTGGTTACCCTGGTTATAAGAAATGTAATTGGCGTCGGCCCAACACATTGGTGAGACTCAAATAATAACTATTGACTCATGGTCCCCAGAGACCATGAATCCAGTAGTTCTTGGTTCTTCTCCTACTGACTTTGCTCAGAGCACCACTGTTCCTAAGTACAGCCTCACACAGCTGCTAGCATGGCTGCAGAGCAGACTAATGAAGAATAGTCTCTTGTTTTAGCATGAGGGACGGTACTCTTGTACAAACATACCGATCTAAATCCATTAAAGTTTACTACTGTGGACTAAAATACTGAGTGAGTAAATTAATTTCCAATGACTAATTTGATGTTTTCCACTCCCCGGAATGGTTTGTGTGACTGATTTACTGAATGCATTATTAAACTTTGTGGAGCATTCAAGAACAGACACGTTCACAAACAGCTCAGCTCTCTTCAATCCTGTATTGTCTTGAAACAAGAAAACACTACAGCAAGCTGATTAAAGCAATGTCAATAATTCAGACATGGAATACATATTCAAACAGGCCTTGTTAATTTGGCTATGAACTTTACTCAAATATTACATATCTTTATGGAAAGTACAAGAGGTTACCTTCCATTATATCTTCTCAGTACAATATAGCCTTGTTTAGCTAAAATACAATATTTTAAAAACTGCAGCGTTTACTCAGCCTACCATTGAATGCTAAATGAATCTATAAGCAATGAATACAAATGCAGTTAATAACACCAGCTGATAGAGTGTGGGGCTTTATAAATATACAATAGTCCATTGGCCTTTCTGACCTTCAGAAACCTTAAGACATGATAGGTCCCTATTAGAGGGCAACAACTGAAGTAGTATTAATGTGTAGTAGAGATTTCTTCAATGAATCAATTTGCAAACAAAATACACAAAAGGATGACTTTAAAACCCCATAAAACAAGTATCCAATTATTCAGTATCTTTCATTGCACAGGCAAACAACATCCTTTGTAAGTCCACCTGAACACATCTTCCAACAGTCATTCTTTCACTCTATTGCACTACAACAAGTGAGACATAAATATTTCATTCTTACACATTCAGTTACATCAACATTCAGCTGCCACACTGTCTGGTCTTCAGGGCTGCACAACTACCTCACTGAGATCATGATTTTTATATTTTTATCAACTACATTGATGATGCAATGATCCAATCATCCGTCCAAATAAGCACCGGAGCTTCTGCGGCAATGTTTTCATGCAACAGATGCACATGATCGAGAACTAAATTTAATGGACCACCATCAATTTGAGTTGTAAAAATCTTTATTGCAAAAAGTACAGCATTGGTCATAATTGTGCAGCCCTGTACTAACAAATAAATCCTCAGTCCTTAATTATGTTACCATACAAGGTTGAGCTGAATTCACATACAGAAAATCAGTTTTTCTTGAAGATAGAAAATATCCATTTTGTGTGTCCGTCAGCTGATCATAATTGAAAATATGGGCTTGTTCTCTGCTGCGTTTACAAACATTGCTGGTGGTAACAAACCTTTAACAGCATTTATATTTACCTATAAAATATATTTTACAAGTGCTAAGCTAGAATATATCTTTCTTATGTAAACTATTGATTGTACAGACTATTAATTACTTCCCAGAATTCTGTGTCAATTGTGAATCAACTGCATCTGCAAATTCCATTTCTTAGAATATAAAATGTTTGAGAACAGATAACTCCATAAAAAGCCTCGCCTACAAAAGGTGAAACATTACCTTGGTAGTTTAAACTAAATACATTTAATTGACAGACTACTTTAATTTAAATTTAACTTTTTAACTTTAAATTACTTTAATGCCCTAATGACATCTGGCTAAACTTGGATCCTTCATTAGCGTAAAAGTGCATCAGTGGGATTCAGTAAATGTACAGAGATGTGATTCGCCCTCACAATTTCTTGACAAATTTAACATACTATTCATTTACAATTACAAAATGAACATTGGTCAGGCAATGCAGAAATCTACTGTACACTACACACAAAAATATCTTCAATCTATATAGTATATACAGACTATGATGATTATGGCCAAAGGCATTACCTTCACAAATAGCTGTCCTTAGAGAAAAAAGGGAGCTGGAACTGTCTTTAGCTTTGTCCCTATCAAACTAGAGGACAGACAAATAGACAGTTCCATGTTTCAATGAGATGCAGTGACTAAGAAACACATTCAAAGACATCACATAGAGACACGATGACAGGAGGCAGGAGCAGAGGACACTAAAACCAAACAAAAACATATGTATTCAACGTGTAATCCTGATGTGCTATTACCTACACGACTCTAGTCTTGTGATCAACCACCCTGTCTATAACGACCTTGAAGTGTTTATTTTTGTACAGTCACAATGTGTCATCACTTGGGTTGTAAAGTGAAAGAAAAACATCAGAAACCTTCCTACAGTTAAGTACTTATTAGCTTTTAATGGTCATAACTGTGACTTTTTCTAGATTTCCACACCGGCTGACCTCATTTTACTTTCAGTGTGGTGATGGCACTCTGTTAACTGTATCTGGTTGTCAAGTTACACTGGAATTTAAACTTTAACTGGAAGGTTTCTGATTTCTATTAGAAGGATTTGTACGCCCGCTCATAATAGGCATAAAATTCATTTGTATGTGAAATAACTCCCAGTAATTCCCATACATTCCTGTTAAAGTGTCACCTCCGAAACACAACATCTGGCCAATCTGCAAGGTGGTAGCCCTTAAGAAAGGGCTCAGAGAACAAGATGCTACATGTTATGAGTGACAACAAGACAAATAAATGTAGATATAAATATACATATAAATATAAAAATTGTGTACACGGCAGATTTATAATCATTTACATGTTTTATCACATCAATACTCAAAAGTGATGTAATTTCTTTACGTACTCTGGGGGAAAAAAATAAAGTGCCTGGGACAGGGCCTTTCTCAAAAACAGGAGAAAGATGAGGGGCTTGCCTAATAAAACGTAACTCTCCAAACATGACACACGCACACACACATATGTCTAACAAAATCCTGGACACAAGTTAAATCTTCTCGTGGAGAGCTCTACCAGGTAGGCATCATGTCTGGGAACCACACGCGACCCAAATGCTTTGACACCTCCCAGTGGATATCATCCAGCCCGTAGCGGTGATCTGGAACCAGTACATCCTCCATGATGGATAGCTGTGTCAGTCTGTCTCCACACATCTTGACAAACTCCACAAAAGCGCTGCAGGACACTTCGCACTCTCCCAAGCCGATGGCTGACAGCTGCGTGCAGCGTTGGGCAATGCGGATCAGCTCTTCGTCCAGCGGTCGCAGCCCGTTGGCGCACACCACCAGCTCCACCAGACGCGGGCAGGTGAGCCCAACGCGGCCCAGCACGTCTTTACTGACAGAGCGGCCGAAGTACAGATGCGTGACGGGGATTTCATCACGGAAGAAAGGGCCAAACTCATCCTCATAAAGGAAAAAGTACATGACCAGATTGAATTTAGGAGAGTGGCGCACCATGGCATCCCAGCTGCTCTTCTTGATGGAGTGGAACTGTTGGCCAGGATTCTCGCTAATCACGTCGATGCGAAGGTGCTCAAGGTGAACGTGCTTCTCTGAGGAGAGAGCGATGAGAAGTTCATCACTCAGCAAATGATAGTTGAGAGCCAGTTCTCTAAGGCCGTGGCACTGATCAGCCACACACAGGATGCCTGGGAGATAAAGAAAAGTAAATTAAATTAAAAGGAGACTATAGAATTACATCCACTGTTTAAAGAGGGTGTACATCTGCACTATTGGGCTATTATTGTAGCAAAACTATTTACAAATGTCAGTTGAGAGTTGTGTAACTGTATCTTAATCTGTGTGTGCGTAATCAGATTTGTAAATATCTGATGACATTTGCGAATGTGTACAGGAATCTGCAACTGTGTGTTCAGAATCTGTGCATTATCAGATTTGCAAATGTGTAGAAAACTACAAATCTGTATTCAGCTCGCTGTTCCTGTTCCTGCTACACTGCTGTGGTCAGTCTGTCACTCACTCCAGTCGATATTAATGCCACGCCCCCTAAATTAAGGTCGATTATGCGTATTTTAAATTTGCTGGGAGGGAGGGAGCTAGCAGAGATGAGGGGTGAAGTTGCACTCTCTCTCCCCACAGACTTACAGCTGTTTTTATGGTACCATTTAGGAAAAGTGATTTATTGAATTGGTGAATTATTATATCTTCATAAAAATTCTAAAAGATCAGTATTTCAATATCAATGTCCCCTCACATCTACATTCATGTCTTCTAAGTCACTTCCCTCAGTTAATAGTTTTTTTGCTTTTATATTACTTTTATTTCCAACCACTCTCTCTCAAATGAAGCTTAGCTGCTAAAATCATCACATGGGGAAGCGATGTTCCAAACATTAACAAAAAGGTTTGTACCGACTCGGAGTTGTCAGCTATAATTGTGCTAGATCAAATCAATTCTTAACAATCATCTGTGAATCATTATTAATCCCTCATCTCTACCATTCCTCCTATTTGTCCATACCTGCAGGTGAAACATGAGGGCAACTGCTCATTTTCAGCAGTTTGAGGGTGTCGCTGTTATTGGCCACCAGGACTTTGAGGGAGGGGTCGTCCACTGGTGTGTCATCGATCTTCAGTGAGGACAGGGATTTGGAGTTGACAAAAACCACCGTCAGCGCTGAGATGAAGTGAGACTGTTGAACAGTGCAAGAGAGAGAAACATTTAGTCAGCTCTGATCGTCAGTAAACATGGCCAACCTAAATGCTAGTTTTATTTACATACTGACATCAAGCAATTTGCCATGAAGACGTAATTGGCAACTACAATCTTATTCCATTGTACATTTGCATTGCTGCCCTCTGCAGGTGGCAGAAATCATATCACTATTGCCTGTATATACATCCTTGTGCACATGCTTAAAACCTGAAACCCGCTCATCAAAACTCTACAGAGTACCTTTAGGTTATATGCATGAATTTAAAAAAAATCTGCAAATCTGACCAAGAAAATAGAGTACCATGTTTTTAGCTGATAACTTATAGATCTAATATTATAGACCTTCACAGAAGCACTTGGCCTTAATTAAACTAGCTGCATTCTAGACATCACAGCCTAAAACTGAAGCTCTACATCCCCTAGAAGGTTTGGGTACTGTAACCACAATAATAAAGTAACTTTTGTAATACCACAACTGTAACGGTAATCTAAAACTGGTGGCAACCAGGTGATTGCCAAAACAGCAGTCTGACCTTTGCCTGCAGATAAAGACCCGCTACGATTATCTTGCTGAGGCTTACCTTAGGCAGCTCCATGAAGCTGGGTCTGGCTGTGGAAATGAGCCCCAATGTTTTCAAAGAACAATTCACAAGCTGAGAGAGGATGTCACATGCTGCCTCTGCAGACTCTCTGCTGCTGTCCACCTGAGCGGCACGGAGAACCAAAATTAAAACCCAGTGACACTTTAACTTGAACAGAACAAAATTCACTTCACTTTAACCACCCTAGCCACAAACTCAGTTCATACCTTGAAGCTGACATACTGCAGGTGGTTGGAGTGCCTTTTGATAATCTGTTTGATTAGGTCTGGGTGTGTGGCCTTCAGGTAGGAGCTAGCTGGCTGGTTCAACTCGAACTCAAAGCACCGCCATAGCTCTGGCATGTGAAAGGCCTGGTTCCAGCCCCGGCACACCTGTGGTGACAACAATGAAATCTAATTGAGCACTCACTGCTTAGCAAAATCTTTTACAATTTTTTTTATTTCCAAAAGCATTATTTTTCACAGGAGGGCTTGTGGCCAAAAAAATGCTTTTTGAATTCCCTAGGCAAGCTCTCAAAATGTGACTCATGGGAGAGAACAGAAACAATTAATTTACCCTCAGGCAAATTGCTTTTGCCAAATGTGACGAGTACAAGACTTGTTGGATCAGAAAAGAACTAGGTATGGGTGTATGTTTGTGTGTTTATCCCTCCCTAATTAATTTTAAGAGCCCAACTGACTGCAGACAAAACAAGCAATATTGCAAAAATAATGAAAAATCATTGTAATTTGCAGCCTGCCTCATTATTTCATGCAGACCAAGATAAATACTGCAGTCTTAGACATATGACACTCCTGCATGAAGGCTAGGAGCCACAATATAACAATTATGATTAGTTAGTTCTTACAAACCTATTAATCTGACCATTTAGAGTGAGGTGAAAGTTGGCCACAATAAGTACTACTTCCCGTATAGTGACGGATGACTCATTATTACATGGGTACCTGAGAAGCATAAGCCCTATCCAGTAGAGGGAGGTACTGGAAGATGTGGAGCAGGATCTCCTGTGGCAGGCACTGCCAGTGGGATCCCTCCCCCGTCACATCCTTCTCCCTCCGCTGCTTTCGGGACCGTTTAAGAGTCTCCTGAGACCCGCCACTGGTGCCACCTCCGTCCTCCTGCTCACTCCCTTGCACACCTCGTTTCATCCTGGGTAAATAGAAGAGGTGTTAACAAAATCCAGATGGTTGGGCCGAGTTACGGGGTAATGAACTCTTGATTAGCAGTATTAATTATGCAGGGCCTCTTCATCAACAGACCTGACATGCTTGGCAGAATTTTATCCCATTTGTCCTATTGTTAACAAGCTTGCAGTCAGTGTCTGGTAGGTTGATGTATGCAGACACATACTGAATATATATCTGTGAAATGACACATGGTTGTGGAGCTGCAACTATTTTCAGTATCATTAAATTTATTCATTATTTCTTGATTTATTTCTTCTGTTTTTATCTTGGTTTGTATTAGGCCACTGCTATTTAATTGCCTGGATTAGCCAGAAACAAACATTCCTGTTCTCTAATTTGTCTATAATTTAGATGATGGTCCTTTGATTATCGTACTATTTATCCTTATGTATTGTCCAGACCTACTAGACACACCAGTGATTAACCTGCTGTACAAAAGGAATCATTTTTCCTGTCAAAAGTGTCAATAACCAGAGGGCTGTACTACGAAGGGAGTTGAACCTACCCAGATTTAACTTATGGAGTTGACGAACTGATTGCTTACACTGGTGTTACAACAGTACTACGACGATAGTGATTAAGATTTTTTCATGTTTCATGCTCCATATTTGTCAGATAAGATAAGATAATATCAGGATATGAGTTTAAAGACAGTTAGCCTAGCCTAATCTCACCGTAGTAGAGGCCAACAAAGACAGGCTTCCCTAAAGTCATAAGTAACATTACAGTGTTCAGGTAGGTTCTCTATTTTTCTCTTACGGACTCTTCTTTTATTTGTGATATGACTGAACACGACTGCGGTAAATTTCCAAGATTGAAGTGGTAAATTAATGAAAGAAATAATTCATTTAGTTTATTAATTAACAGGGAATAAAGCAAAAAGTGAGCCCGATAACTTATCTGGGAGGAAATAGGTACAATGTATTGAATGAAGTATGAAACAAATTTAAAACTGCTCTATGCCTGAAATCAGACATGGTGCCTGATCTACTCCCTAATGCAGCGAGGCTGAAGGCTACCTGTGTGACTGTAATGCTACTATTAAAATAAGTGAACACTGATCATCTTCTGGATTCCTCTGGAATAAAGCGTTCTGCATATAGACCTAGTATAAGTATATTAAAAAGTATTTCTATATTGTGAATTACCTTCGACCACATAAGAAGCCCCTTTGATCTTTATAACAATTAAATGGGAAACTCACAATAGCACTCTGGCCCTAGAAGCTGGCAGATACTGAACTCCTGGACATAAATATCTTTCATAGAGAACATCATCGGGCTCAAATGGAGGCTGTTGACGGTCTTTAAACTCCCTCGCCCTTCGCAGTGAGCCTCTCACAATCCATCTGTTTTCCAAATGTGTGTGAATTAATCTCCACAGGATTGTGGGTGGGCGGAGGAGACAAGAGGTGCTTTATAGGTTAACATCGAGTTAACCACGAAGATAACCTTGACGTGGAGAGTAAATTGCCATGACAACACACACTCATCCACCTTTCAGGTTAGTAACGAGTTAACCTGGAAGTTACCTGGATGAAACCAGTTACTTCGCCTCGTACTTTACAGTCCTGAGGTGTGTTTCAGAGTGTTTCCACCGGCTCTGCTTCTCACCTGAGAATAAAAACATTGTAATGGAGGACACGCCTCCCTCTGCCTCCCCCAACACTAGCGTCTCATCAGCGGGATGTAAAAACCCACAAACTAAGAGTAATGCTTCTGCAAAAGACCGCATTTAGCGTCACATTTTCGCATAAATATCGGGACTTTCGGCGACGTTTAGTTTACAAACACGTCAAGCAAACCGAGACTAGAGTTAGCTTAGCCGAAGCGAGCGTTGCACCGCGCTAACTAAACGTAACTTAGCGAACAATGTGTAGTTAATATAAAGTTACACTTGAAAAAACAGCAAAGTAAAACACACAGTCAAGGTTCTTCATAGTAGTTATCGACCCCCGTCCTCCTCTTACCTGGCTTTCACCTCCGTCCGCTGTTTTTTAATGAGAAAATGTGACTCAACGTCAACCGGGACCTACACAAGAAAACTGCGTTGGAGCTGACCGACCGATCCAACACATTGGACCATACGACAGCACGGTGTGTCGGGAGGCTGGTAGATACCGACAAGAAACGCACGAAGCAAGTTTTTCTAAAGTGTTTTCGTTTTCCGAGCGCCTGACCTAGTTTCTCTCCACAACTCTGCCTCAGCAGTTTGCTTGTGTCGGTTAAAGATGGCGTTTGTGTTGCTGCGTCGATCAGTGAGCTGGCCGGCCTGCAGTTACAGCGAGATGTCGACAGGGGGAGCTGTTTCACTCAGCGAGATGTATTCTCTATACGGCCAGTGTGTAACACTGAGGAGGATGTACTGGCAGAAATGTCATAGGTATGTTTTCATAGACTGCACAATCACCCAAATATAGGAATTGTTGTGTTTTGGTTACCTAAGAATGAGCCAGTTTTACCCTTAGAGACATGTACACACACCGGTCAGCCATAACATTATGGCCACCTGGGCACCCTGAGTGGTCTGTGGCTACGCAGACCCATACACAACAAACTGCGATGCACTGTGTGTTCTGACGCTATCCTGTTCTCATTTCCAGGTTGTCAAATACAGGTGCGAGTGGTGTTCAGTTAGTTGCAACTGGCAATTTCACACCGAAATACCACTAAATCCTGCACACTGGTCCTTTAAATCTCATCTCAGGTTACATTATTATTTAATCCTTGTATGAACGATTATATAATCACTTATTCTTTTTATGAAATACATAAATGTGACCCAAAATGAGATTTTACTGTTTCTCCATATCTCAGACAACTTCGAAACTAATGACGTTGGCTCATGTTGGAGTTGTTGTTGTTGTTGGCCTCTGAACATGTCTAAACCCCACTTTGGCCCTGTTAATCTTCAGTTGTTTTCTCCCTAATCTTCTTTTCAATTTGATATTATCATTTTAATTATAACATTAAATTATATTATGAAACAGTCACATAGATTACATTTTAGCAGTATTATAGAAGAGGAATAATAAGAAGAAGAAAGGAGAATCCAGCCTACATCACCCCTGCCTGGCTGTCAGTCAAAACAAACAGAGAGCAACACAGGTACACGCAGGTGGAAGCAGCGTGAAGCGTGCTCGGTCCAGCCAGGCAGTGTGCTGTTGTTGCAGGATCTCCAGAGGAAGGATAGTTTGTTGGAGAACAGGATTGATCTCAGTTTCCTGGAGGTTTGCCATTCATTGTTTAACAGCAGGCAACACTGTTTGCTTTCTGCAGACGTCTTGGTGATCATGTGCAGTGATTTATTCAAAAACAGGGTTTCTGTTCTCTTCTTCCACAAAGCTTCCCAGGGTTGGATTTAGAGACATGTTCAGCTCTTTGTTCTCCGCTTCCAACTGTCATTTCTTACAACATGTTGTTCAAGAGCAGGCTCAAGGTGAAGTTGTCACTTCCCAGAAGATTGAAGTTTTGATAGGAGTTCAGACTGGGTGTTCATCTGCCATATGTTGTAATTGTGCTGTGAGAATATGCTGTCCATTCATCTCGACTAAACAGGACGCAGGTCACGGCCACAAAGAAGCACTATTGAAATTCAGGTCAAACTAGCCTTCCAATTGGACCGCAGTCTGCTCACAAAGTCTCTACTCTGCCTGTCTCATCTTTAACTTCAGTGGCAATTATTTCTGGTTCCTCACCACAGTTTACACATGAAAAACTAAGAGCAAAAAAAAGAAAGAAGGTCAAGAGATGGCAATATAAACAAGAGGCTCTCAAGCACACTGTCAGGTAAAAATAAAACCCCATTTCAATTACAAACTGGTCTTCATGAATTCAAAAAAATAATTGTAGTATTTCAAAATGCACATATCTTCATCATTATCAGATTATTATAATCGGCTGGTCCCCTGCAGCTACATGTGAAAGCATTCCACACCTGCAGAACTGATGGGATTTGCCCATTATATTGCTTCATATTAAGTCACCACATACATGCATGTTTTTTTTATGAAATAAACATATTGTTGATATGTAAAATAATGTTTTTATATTACATAAAAAAGTAAGTTTCCATCTCCCAAAATGTTTGCATATTTGACTTTAATTGGACTGCATTTTATTGTCAGATTTCTGGAAACTGCATCAAACTAAATTTGTTACACCATTTTCTAAACTCCCCCAGATCTTCACTAGATATACACTCAAGTAGTTGGTCAATATTATCAAGCAATATTAACACCCAGATTACCTTGTCCTATACATTACTATCTAAAGTCAATATTAATTGTTCAAACACTTTGAAGCTGCAAACAGGAAGAAACCCTCCAATCTCCCATAAATTAACTCTTCACTCGGATGTCCTCTGTGGAAATCTCTCTTTCATTGCTCTTCCTCTGAGCTTTTTGTTTTCCAGCTTGGGGTTGTTGTGTTTTTTGCACCAGCTGGTATTCTAGGAAACTTGCATGTCTATGTTTGAAATGACCAAACATACCTGAAAAACTTTGGATTTTTACAGTGGCTCAGAAGGGACAAACCAAACACTGGCTCTAGATAAGGCCTTTCGTGTTTTTTGTGAGTTTTGCGGCCACCATAGTTTCCCCTACACACTTGGAAGGCTGAGCTATATTCAGATGGTTGAAATCTGCAACATCACTGCTAGATGCCACTAAAACCTACACACTGATCCTTGAAGCTGAAGTCTGAAAACTGATTATTTTTTACCCAACTAAATGTTTAATGTAGGACATATAACTGTAATGGAGTATCTTTATAATGTAGTAGTGCTACTTAATACTTACCCCTGGAAATCCGCTCCGTTTAGGGGTATCATATCCATTTTAAATCAAATGGGTCAACTATGAACCATAGTGACTAATACAGTTTATTACATTCAGCATCAGAAAGGGAAATTATATTTGCATGTGTTTATGTTGTTGTTTTTGCATTTTCAGGATTCTACACAGCCTGTAGCCAATATGACATACGATATGTCAGACACGGTGTTTTCGTACTAAAACCCATGATTTTACTTTGATCCACATCCAGAAGTTTAATTGGTATCCAATGAAATACCAAAGCTAAATAAACAACCCTCTTCAGCATTCCCTCTTTAATTTTCTGTTGTCGTCAGATTTTAGCCCACAGGACCTTCATTACCAACAGCTTTTACAAAAGAGGAAAACAAAGCGTTCTAACAGTAATCATGAGAAAATTCACATGGGAATGACTTGCAGGTGTGAAATCGAGACTCCACGAGTCGATATACAGTTTCATGTTTATTAAAGTGGGACGGATTTACAGTTTGTACACCCCATCCACATTGGCATTGGTTTAGAAAGCAACAAACAGTACAAATGCAGTATATACATACCAGTATACATATATTTATAAAATACAATAGCATTCTTTTTTTTTAACACAACTGTACTGTATTTTTTAAATTGTTTGAAGTCATGGTTAGGAGGCCTTTTAAGCAAGCTACACTTCAACTGTTCAGACGGAAAGATGCGGTGCATAAGCTGTGAGTTTCTGTCATGGAAAGTGAGTCAAGCCCACAGTAATTACAATATTCAGATCTCCATGTTAGAAAAATAGTCCCACGTTTGCACAAAGTTCCCTACAGAAATGGGTTGCAATCACAGAAGGCTAGCATCAACAGCACAGGCACCAGAGAAACAAGCGAAAACCCACAAAAGTGATGCGTTTCAGGAAGTTGGACCGTAAATGAGTTCAAAATAAACAATTGAGGAGACACGTCTTTTGTTTTGGTTTTTGCTTCGGTTGTCAATTAAAAGAATGGGAATACTGACAGATTTTCTCTTTTTCAAAACTAGTTTGGATGAACAACTTGCACAGTTTGTAGTGTGTAAAGGGTAATGATTCATTTTCACATCTTCAGATCTTAAAGAAGTTACGACCATCAAAATTGCTTTTATTATAACGTAAAATCTGGATGGGCATCTTTCATGAGACAGATAGTGTAACATTTCTCGGAGAGATAAGTGTTATATGAAAAATAAAATATGGAGGTACACAATGATTTACCTTTATAAAGAGTGTATTCAGTGTACAGCAGCTTTATAAACCATGTTAAGTTTTTATCAGGGTTTTCATGCGTCTTCGTCCATCTCAAATAACTTTTGAGCAAAGCATCACCTCCGGGAGACATTTAGGAATACGACCCTGATTTTCACTGTTCACACAATTTAGCTACACAAACACATTATGCACCTTCCATTAGTTATGTCCATCTGGGAGAAACATTTATGAGGTCCAAGCTGCACTTTATTGTTATCCGACACATACACGACATTTGGAAAGCACTAAAGGACAAAGCAGTGTTCTGTGATGACAAGCCTGTAAAGAATTTCTGGGCTTTATTATGATATAATATGGCCGACTTTAGTTTCTTTCCGCTTTCAAGAGGAGTGTTGTGATGAAAAGGTTAAAGCCTAGCACTCTGGGGGAGGCAGTTATGGAAACTGAGATGTATCAAGCCACGTGTTGCTCTTGCTGTGTGGATGATACAGTTTTCTCACAATTTCCACACATTAAAAATAAAAGGTTTAGGGGTTATGAGCAGTCCGGTGTCGTCATTAGGAATGTGACAGAAAGTCCTCCTGGTCCACATCAATTCCTTAATCTGGAGGTTTCATGTTAATGCTGCACACTGTCACAGTGTCCAACAGTAGGAGCAATTACTTTGTAATTTCATAATTTCATCTAGCAAAATATGTTAATAGCACAGTTCCACATTTCCTTTTAACCAATATACTCAGGACATTTAGAAGAGAAATTGTAAAGACTGAAAGTAATTTCTATAATGTTCCACCTCTAGTTCATTGCATTTGTTTTAAACATTCTACACATTACTGCCATCTTGTGGTCAAATACCTCTTTACAGCTTAAATTTAAAAAAAAGGGACACTACATCTTTTGCATCAAGTAAGTTGTATTAGATGTGAAAAATAACTGAATTACCCACAGATAATTACAATCATCTCTTCTTGTAACATTCTTATGAAAATTGAAAATTTCTATTCACATTTTGAACAAATTACCTCCTTGTCCCTCCTAACTATTGAAGTTTTCATTTTCACTGGGACTGACACTTGTTTTGCATTGATCACTTTATGTACGTACCCTGGTCAAACAAAATGTGTCCAGCAGGTGGGCAGTGAAGGTCCCTTTATATTTAATTTGTTACTCAAAAAGAATAAAAATAAGAACCAGACAAAATTCATGAAGCTTGATTTCACATTACACTTAAATCTGAGCCATGACATTTGCTGTCATGTTTCACAATGTGTCTACTGATATATTCTCAGTAATGATTGATTTGTGTTTTAGAAGGTCAATCTGATTGGTCCTTAATGCAGTTTTGAGTATTAAATCCCAAGTTACAGTTATTGATGATTAATGGAGAAATCTAAGGTTTCATGTAGTGTTTTATAGCTGTTAATCCACAGACGATACACAGAGACAAGGTCCCTAACCTTGACAACAGGACATTCAAAATTGAAATGGGTTTGGATCAAATTGTTGTTGGCAACTGAAAAACTGTGAATGCAACATCCAGAGGCCTTATGGCTGAGAGGAAAATAAAGCAGCAGTGAGACCAGATTTCAGAGTAAAAGACAGACATAACAGAGTTTCAATCAGAACTGATGTGTGTTGATATTTTGTAGTATTTCACATTAAATCCCAACACTGCAATGTGCAAGTTAGGACAATATCAATACATTATATATGAGGTGATTAGACCAGAACCACAGGAGTGGTAATACTATGCATGCTTCAGAAATATTTGCAACAGGTTTCATATCGTGTGTTCTGTAGTTCAATCTGTTTCCTTAAATTCAGGTTTAAAACTGTTCAAGCAGAGACATTGACCAGTACAGCACTCAACCCACAGATAAGCACGGGAGCCTGTGTTTAATTAATTACATGTTTAAATGGATTAAAGGGCCGGGTGCTTACTTCTATAAAAACTTGCAGTCTGAAGGTGTTTGCAGCACAGGAATAAGTAGATGAAATCATCTCTTTCTCCCTTGCACTCTCACACACATACACACTCCACAGCTTTCTTTGTGTTTCTCATCACACTTCATAGCAGATTCTACTATGATAATGCTGTGCTTTTTGCTATTCCCCACAGACCTCAGCCATCCAAAAACTCAGCGTGTCATGCTTTAGATGGTTGCCTCTGATCACAGATCACATGGAAGTTTCAAGGGTCAAGTTTCACGTATGGTTACTGCTATTAGTTAACTGTCTCTTTGTGGGAGAGTCTCTTACTCTCTGGGCGACACAGTGAGTGTGGACAGGCACTCCACCTGGCAGAGACACCACGTCAGGCTCACTGAAGGTGTTGTGGCACAGATGGCATCCCTTCTTTTCAGACACAAAGATAGGTTTCTTCCGCTCTTTCAGCTGTGGAGAAAATACGTAAAAAGTACAATTACTTGTAATGCCTTGGTAATGCCTTTAAAAGAAGTAGTAAATACTGCTATTATTTATATTGCTGTTAACCCTTTGTAAAATAAAATCATAATAATTATTAGTCATAATCTAATAAATGATGGTGTACCCAAGCCTGTAAAACAACACATTAAACAAGTAATGTAGAAGTGAAAGAAGTAAGTATTTGCTTATTTAACTAATTTGCACATTTTTGTATTGTGTTGTGCCTTCCTCACCCTATCATGCAGCAGTTGAAGGTTTTCAGAGTGGGATAGCCCCAGAGCGATCTGGGAGGTGCGGCAGGCATGCATGCTGGCCCTGATAGCTCGACCCAGAAAGGGCCGCAGCAGCTGCAGTGACCAGCCCTCGGGGAGCATGCGCAGGACGCGGACTGCATCAAACACCTCGCCGTGACGATTTAGGAGGTCCACTGCTGCCATCTCCAGGTCTCCAGCACCACCTCCTGTTGCAGTCTGGTTCCCGTCTAGATACACCCCTAAAAGCAGGTGGAATAGCTGCTGTCGGTAAGCTGAATCCTGAGAACAGGAGGCCCACGTGCAGAAGGCCTCAGCAGACGGGAAGTCTCTGAGCTTGTGCACCAATATGTGCAGTGCTTTATCATGCTCCTCCAGTTTTCCATGTAGTGTTGCTCGCTCTAGCAGCAGTTCTTCACAGTTCTCCATCTTACCTAAACAGAACAGGACATCAAATATTCAGGGTAAAAAACCTGCATAGTGATCTTTCCAGCCAATTTGGGACAAAGTTACAAAGTTTTGAGAATCCAACCTTGCTATCAAATGTGCTTTTGTATTTATGGTGCTAGATGCAAGATGACTAATAAATTGTACTATGACAAGCTAAACATTATTACAACTAAATATATCTTTCATCAAAATCTTCAAAGAGCTGGCAGAAACGCTGCAAAACAGAATTCAAAAAAGTGTACCGGCTTCTTCAGACTTGTTTCTCACCTAAAAGAAACTGTACACGGTATAGGTTGGACTCCCTGAGCAGGGCTTGGAGCCTCTCTCTAGCTCTCGTGAGCTGCTCTTCATCTGTTGGCTTCTTTGACATTAATGACAAGACCCTCTCCAGGTACAACACAGCCAGGTGTGTGTGGAACTTCTCTTTCTGAATTCAAAACATGGAAGAAAACAATTCACATTCAATAAACTTTCTATGAGGAAGGCAGCTTAATGATGGAAAACACCTAAAAAAATATGTTTATATTAACTTGATTCACTACTCTGAAATCTGAATAAGAAATTTAAGCTGTGTTACTAAAGATAGCCTCAAACCTACACCACAAAAGGACATTAAGAATGAAAGTGTTTGAGGGCGGATACCAAAAGCAAACTGTCATTAGTTCCTACTGACATGCCCATGAAAAAGGCCCTTGTTCTCCAAACACTACAGTGTAGCAACCCAACAAGCAACAGATCAGATTGTGGTTGTAACTGGGCAAAACGAGCACTGCTTGGAGTGAAAATATTGTGGCTAGAGGAGGTAGGAGCCACGTAAAAATTGAGGGTGTACATAACCTTTAAAAGGCAACCTAATTGACCTAGCTCAAAGGTTAGAATTGTAAGAGGAAGTCAAGGGACAGCGCTAACCACTAAGCTGCTGTCTCATGTGACCAGTTTCATATTTAGAATATGGTCAATGGTGAGACTGCCGCAGTCTATGTATGTATTCATGATATTAATGCAATTCAGCACTTTATAGACGTGATACTGCAGGGGAATTCCTCTAATGATGCTTGCTACCCTGCAGGAAGGTTAGTGTTTGAATCAGCTGCAACACAGCATCTCCGGGGCTAGCACAGATTCTGTGTATTCCGCAAGGATACTTCATTAAAGCCAACACTTGTTGACATTAAGACCCAGAGCCTTCCAGTTCTCTCTCGCAGAACAAAGCCACTGTGCCATATTTGTCATTAACCGCTGATCATTTGATCCTTTTATGTTACCTGTGTCCTTCTCTCCAGCACCAGGTGTTCCAGGTAGAGAAGCAGCGCCTGGCTGTGCTTTCCCAGGTAAGTGATGACATCATCGGGGTTCAACTGTGACTGATCTTTACTGGCAGGCCTCTTAGTGAAGATGTGGACACCTATCTATGAACAATAAAGAAAGGCTGGGTTACAACTAAAGTTCTACCACTTCATGCTAAATATTAGAAAATGTTGCCGTAAAATGTTGTGAAAATAATCTGTGGCATGAAGGCAAAAACATGCAGAATGTAAAGTACTCGACAAGCAACAGTGTCACAAGAAAATACATTTACTGCAAAAAAGCACATCTGCTTTTTCTATTTAAGTCACACATGAATAGAGTTATTTGCCGGTACATAAAGGGAGCTAAATAAGAACTCAGTACCTTCCCTTTTTATTTAATGAGGAACTGAAGAAATGGCTCGAGAGCTGTGGAAAGTGACAACTCTTGTTTTGAATGCCTATTCGATCATCCAATGATCAATGTGGGCTGTAGAGAATTATTACTTGTCTATACCACTGTATAATTATGCATATGTGCTGCAGTTTTATGTGCATTTCTTACATTTAGATTTTTATGGTGCCTTTAATCATGTGAACAGGAACTGCCAATGAAAAAAAGCCCTCTTGGCTAACTCTGGGCTATTTGCAGGGTTTTCTCCTTCAAGTAATTAAATTTAGACAAAATAAAAGAAAAAAACCACAACTAATTACTGTTACTGTTAAAACAGTTTAAAAATCTACTTTGCCTCAAGCTGACTGGCATTAATAGTCTTTGACTGACAGCAGTGTTACATTTTTGAGGTAATTTAAGGTCCTGGTAACCTACGGTGGGATTCTTCTGCAGCGCCCAGTCTGCATACTTCCATACAAGGTCCAGATTGGAGCAGGAGTAGAGAAAGTCCACAATGTACTCATAAAGGTCAGATCTTGTGGAATCCTGCAGTTCTCCATCTACCACGCGAATCCACAACTGTCAGAAAAATAAAGGGCACAGGTTAAATTCCTACACATTATGTTGTTGCTGAGAGACTCAATTAATAACTATAAACTAATTTTAGGTGTACATACCTGAAGTGCTGCTGAATCCTGACCATTATAATGATAGAGCAGCCCAAGTGCAAAATATCTAAGGAGAGGGGGAAAAAATGACTGAATGAAGCAAAGCATTTCCCTCAAGAAGAGAGGGTGGTAATTAACAGCAAGAAGTATTTACCCAACAAAGCACCATCTAAGTCAGTCCCTCTAGGAATGTGCAAATTTTGTGACTGTAACAATTAAATGCAAATTATGCCGATTCCCAGGGTCCACAAGAATGTTAACTTTTCTGCTAATTACCAAAGTTTTAAGCACTGTGACAAATTGAGAACAATTTACCATTATTCTTTATCAAGCAGTGAAACAAACTTTAAAAGATTACATTTAAGTCCAGAGTGCAGTCACACTTTCAGAATGTGTGGATGCTGTTTCAGGTTAATTGTATTTGTGTGTCCATTTCAATAACAGCTCTTCTACAGACGTGAAGGCTCTTGAGACTATAAAATGTATGTGTGTGTTAAAATACAGCAATTTCCATGTGTGATAAATATTCAAAAAAAATAAGAGTATACACACTTTTGATATTTCTCCAGCCATGGGACGCTGTCTGCCAGTAGGCAGGCATTGTCTGAAGCTAGCAGGTCTAGAAGGCTGTCATGATCCTGCTCAGCATATAGCTTTAACAGTGCAGTGTCCACATCCTCTCTACAGCCATTGGCCACCTCTGTGCTTCGTACCTGTGTGTCAGGTTGAAGAAAAAACATCATGTAACACGTATTATGACAACTTGTGAGTGAAGTGAAGTCACTGCAAAATTCTGTTAAATCAGTTTTTACTCCATTTACCTCTCCCAAATAACTGATAAGGAATTTCTTGCATCGCAGCACTTTTTCCTGGTCACCCTGTGCCAGGTGGTTGAGATCTGCAAACTCATGGAGAGGAGGATGGCAGCGTGTGAATGAGGAGGAAGCTGGCAGCAGCAATGGGTAGAGAGATATCAGCTCCCGCACATCCAGCTGACCCTTCCTGCCAATAGAAAGGTAGAGTCACATAAATAACAGCTCACGAGTGAGGGAATGGATCAAGAACCTATAGCCAGAAAGCAAGTGTGCATTAGTATGCAAAAATGAGACACAAATTAGAAAAAAATCTAAAAACTCCTGAAGTAGATCCAGATTCACAACAAAAACAAATTGAAAACGTAACCTCCTTGGCCGAGGCGTCTATAAAATCATTACGTTGTAAAGTAATTGCTAAGTGATAAAAGAAGTTAGTGCAGAATCAGTTAGGAGTACTTATGGGCTAGCAGTTTTGATCAAGTAGCTCAGCACATTGCTGTTCAAGATGTAACAATTTATTTCAACAGTGAATTGATTTCAACTCTTGAACAACCACAGCTTAATATGTGTTGGTATTTGAGGGTCAATAGCAGGGAGTAATAGTGGTTAAATGGAAATATAATCACTCTTCTACTGTGATATTAATAACTACAAAATATATAAATGAGGCAATGTCAGGCTTTTTAAAGGAAAACCTTGGGCCTGAATGATTCTTGCTTGCCACAGACAGTTTAATCATATTACAAAACAGAACAGTTTAACAAGAAGTTGTAAAATTCACACTGACCCAACTCTTACCTGAAGTGTTCTTTTGCTTCTTGAAACTGAAGTTGGCCAAACTGTATGAAACCTGCCTGCTGGAGGATTCTTTTGTGCAAAATCTGTACATGCAGAAAGTGACAGTAGATGAGAAAGTGTTTTTTTTTTTAGTTTAGATAATGTGATTCAGCACAGAAGAATAGTTTCCATTAAAAGAGCCCAGTTAAAGTTATATTATCATTGTTAATTGGTCATACCAGTATCATTGCATGCCCCATAACTCACACACAAAACGTCAAAACATTACAATGTCTGTTACCTGGAACTTGTCTTTGGGAATATTTCTCTGTGCTCCTTCTGTGAGGATGAGTGCCTCCTCCACTCTGTGACTGGCCAGTAAATCCTGGATCTGTCTCTCCAGTGGCAGGGGTACCAGGACATACACTGCCTTAGTGGAAGCCAGAATGACCTTTCCTAAAACACACACAACGCTCACAAGTCAGAACTTAAACAAACAGTTTCTGGACTGTCACAAATACCTGTAGTGTCTTGTTTAAGCACGACCAACAGACTAGATTAGTTTTTTAATCTAGTGTTTTACAGAATATCCTTTAAAACATATTTAGCTCTGGAAAGAGACATAAGATAAGATAATAGTCAGTAATCAAATCCTTTCCAGAGTTTCCCGTTTTAGCTCAGAGCTTGCTTTCTTTTCTGAGCATCAAGAATGCGTGTGGCACTTGAAGTCTCCATTGTGCACCTGTCCAGAGCGACATCATTTTAGATGCTTATTTTTTAAAGCTCTGTTATATAATATTCTTCATTCCAACACTGAACTGAAAGACTCTCTGTATTATGAAAAGGTTGCCAGTGCTTCAGATCTCATTAAGAATCAAGACGCCAGTGTTCAGCTCTACGCAGCTTTCAGCTACTTTCTGCTGAAAGGTTTTGTTTCTCAATCCAGTCTCTCCATCCTTGGTTAACCCAGGCCTGTTTTCCAATTCAATTTCAAAAGTGTGTACACCAAGGAAGCACAAGACATGATTTCCCTCAATTTTCTATAATCTATATGAGATGGACACATTAAAGTTTACAAGTCTTGGGGAGTACTACTAGATATGTGAAAAACATGTATAAAGCCTTGTGTGGCTTCAGACGGAGCTGCACAAAGTCTGACAAAATACCTCAAGTTTGGTCACTTTTATTATTAAAGGAGACTGCTGACCTCTGTGACAATTAAGCCTGTTACAACACACAAGAGTAATGGCTGGGTGGGTGCATGGGCATCAATTAGATAATCACTCCTTCTTCTGATTGTTGTGGTTAATAGGTGGTTTGATATGACGATATAGTCTGAAAAGAAAGAAATATGTAGGGATACCTTCAAAGTCTTGCAGAATGTGTCCATCCCTGAATGAAAGTGTCTGTTTCAGCTGTTGGTCCAACATGCTGTGGATGGTGATGAAGCTCTCATCCAAAGCCACCACGTACGGAAAACACACAGCAGCACCAATCACGCTCTCTGACCAGTTGACTGGAGCCCGCTGAGATACTCCTTCAGCATTGGCAAACATTCCTGGAGGGGGATGTGGAGAGACAATTTTGAAGATAGACAGGAAGATGTCATTCAAAAATGGTCTTAAATTGAGAAATACTTCAAAAACGTAAAGACTAGTAGAAAAAAGGCTATGAAATGTATGTAGGTTAATCTGTTTTGACAATTCATATACTACATAATAAATACTGTACATTCATTTAAAAAACAACAACAGTAACAATCAATTAAAAGTAATAAAAATAAATTCATGAAAAACTGCCATTGCCTTTTCATTGTTGTCAACTGTATAACAATAATTCCTACAAATATAATGAATCAATAACATGTCATGCACCCAAATAAGTGGGTGAAGTTAAGAAGTTAACTGAAGACTTTTCAATGGCTCCTAATACCTTTTTGAGGGAACTGAATTCAATGGTTTGTAATGACTTTCTAAAAACCTGTTTTGGTCCTGACTTACCTAGACCACCGGGTCCTGCTAAAAGGAACTCCTCCCTGCCGATTCTCTTAACAATAGGTCTCCTCTCCTCACTGTTGTAAGGGAAGAGGTCTTGGGAGGCTCCTGTGTTGTAGTTCAGAATCATGTACTGCGTAGCGAGGGCCAGGCACAAGAAGTAGCCATCAAGACTGACGGCACAGGGCTGCTCAGGGGTGGTCACCTCCTTGACTAGCTGCACTCTGTCCTCATACACCATGTAAATCTGCACTGTCCGCCGCTTGGAGGAGAGCACACCCATTTCCACACAGAACGGATCCCCGTTCACCGGGTTCTCATTAATGCAGAACGCCGTTACACCTCTGATCTTGGCTCCGCCTCCTGCCGCCGAGGGGACAGTCTCCAGTGTCACCATGTCAACGAGGAACACTATTCCATCGCAAAGCACTATCAGGCGCTCCAAAGCGGAGGCAGCACGCAGCTCAGCGACCGGTTTCTTGAGGCCCAGATATTTGTGCAGCAGCTTCTGAACTGAGTAACTCAGTTTACCTTTGGAGGAAGTGACCTCGTCCAGCAGGAAGTGGTGGATGAAGCAGTCATTGGTACCCATGTACAAGTGCTTTCCACAGCATTCAATGCATTCAATGTTGATGCGAGCCTTGTCGCCCATGAGGAGATCTCGCTCCACAGCGGGGACTAGCTCAAAAGCCTTCACACTCATCTCAGCCAAGGCATCTACACTAGATGATACAAAACAGACAGGCATCAACAAAACTGCAGACAAATGACAACAATCAATACGACACTACGCTGCAAAACATTTTCTTCTGATACATTATTTATCCACTGGCAATATGACTATTCATTAACAGAATATAAGGGCGTGTCGTTTATTTGCAACAAGCTCTGGGTCTATTCTGCTTTTAAGCAGTTCAGACTTTAGCTTCTTTCTAACGGATTTACCTCTGAAGAATGACACACAAAAGTGCAAGCCTAAAAAATGCCAGACATCCCAATATATTAAGGTTTTGGGGTGTTGATTGGGCAACACATCACCCTGGACACTGGGAAACAGTTGCAAACATTCATAGCAATTTTCTGACATTTTATAGCTCAAACAATTAATTGTCAAATTGACCAAATGAAAGGCCGTGTTAGCAGCATATTCTGGGCCTTCTATCAGGTTTTAGTTAAACATTTCCTTAAAAAAATGTCAAACAGGATAGTCTGTTTATCATGACTGATGTCAACTGCAGATTATATTACATGTTTACATAGCAGACATATGACTCAGCTTAACTACTGACCAGCAATCAACATATTAAAGGGTTGTATGTTTACTAACTTTATGTTTTATTTGTTCTAACACACATGCATATATAGTGTACGTGTGTTTTGGCCCTAGTTTCATCATGCAAGTAGTGTCTTGTACACCTACATTTGGGCTGGGAACTTTGAAGTGTGTCGCACTTGAATAAAAGTACTCCTTCAGGCTCAGCCTCGTACAGATAACTTACAATATGTAAATTGTGCTCATTTTCCTTAACAGTAAATAGAAATAGTGCTATTATGGCAACTCCTTCCCAACCATCGTGTAATTCACAGCTTCCTGTGTAATGTCCAGAAGCTAAGTTTATACTCTTACATAATCATATAGTCATTCAAGTCCGATTAGGGTTACTTTTTAACACATTTGGGAAACATATGTATGATCATGTAGCGTCGCTCAAGTGGGAACAGCTAATGACGTTAGCGCCAGCTAGCTTAAGGTTTCCAAATCCACAGACGAAGACGAGAGCAAAATAAAATCCACTGGTGAACACTTTCTGTCTGGAAGTGGACTTTTTTTGTTAGTCAGCTAATGTAGAGTAAGCGTGTAAGTTAAGGAAGTCCTGGTCGGCTCTTTCAAATTGATTAAGCTAAGCAGCTAGCGTTAGCTCAAACAGACGGTTCTCCAGTGAACTCAATGCTAGCAAGCTAACAAACGCTACAGCTAGCTGGACTTCCACAGAGCCTCCAGAAGGGCTTTTATTGATAATGTGTCAAAAAACAAGCTGCGCTGTTAAGATACGACAACCACAGGATGGCCTGTCCGAAGAAAAATAACCAAGCTTCCCCCACCGTCCTCCCCTCCCTGGTTCCTCCTGGAGCTGTCGGCGTTAGCAGGGATACCTACCGCAGCTGACAGCGCTCAGGACGGCGGGCCGTATCACCACCGACAGGCGAGCCTTAACACGCCCAGTACAGCGGCCCCGACGTACACTGACGGTCGAACATTAATACAGCCATGGGGCTCGGGCCGGCGCCTCACTGACAAGCGGATAATATTGGTTGAAAGGCAGCGTTAGGTGTAAGTTGTCCCGGGTAAAACGCCGCCCATTTGCACTGAACTCTGGTGGGTTGCAGGTGATACAGGGGTGCGTTCAAGACCGTAGTGAAGAGGGACGTTGATGAAGACGATTTCTCAACACGTTTCAAACTGAGTTTTTTTTTTTTTTTTTTAAATGTGTTACTTACTTATAACAACGCTGTTTCCAGTTTCTCTTTGTTGCTTTGCACATTGTTAAAGGAAAATGTGATTCTCAAAATTGTTCAAATCCTAACAACAAAAAATCAAAATCAAAATCAAATATCAGCTGTAAGGTGGATGATGTGCTGTTTAAGTATTAATAGTAATAGTTCCTTAATAGACTCTTTTTCCTTGCAGACATTTTGACATGTCATAGCATTAAAAGCACAAATGTATTCAATAACAATTAAATTAATGATGGCTGCATACTTCAATATACTTGGTATTGTGTGTGCTGCTCACTGGAATAGCTTACTGGGACAAACTAAGACATTATAAATGTTATTAATTCCACCTGTGCTTTTCTTGTTATGACTGCAGTGAAAAAGATGTTTACATTAATCTGTTGTGTCTTTACTCTACAACGTTACTGATATAACAGCATTTTATTTTATTTGTCGCTTTTTTTTTACTATATTTTCACATTGCTTTTTCTCTAAAGCGATCCTTTTGACTAAGATTTGTAAATATAAATAGAGTAATAAAAAACAGAAACACAATATCCGTCCACTAATCTTCAACAACAACAACAACAACAACAACAACAAAACCGTAAAAGTCCAGACTGTCTCTGAACGCAACTCGGCCGCTTTTCACCCAAGATGCACCTGTCCAACTGAACTGTCTGAGAAAAGCCATTTTGTTGTGCTAGCTAGCTAACATGGGTAAAGAAAGCCAGCAGTAATATGGATCTGTTATATCAACGCTAACTATGTCGCTTTTACGTTTTGGTTTATTGTCTCAAAATACAATAATTGAACTCGTTAAAATCTGTAAGTAGGTTAGTGAAGAATGGACTAGCCTGTATAGCTGAAGCTAAAAGTGTTGAGCAGGAGACGAAAACTGGAGGCTAAAGTGTGCTGCAGTTTCAGATATCATACTGTTAGCTGACCTAGCTATCTGTTTACTTAGCTGACGGTAGTTATGTTTTCTGATTAATAGCCGACGTTAGTCACTGTTTGTCTGTAAATGTGTTTTAAATACATCGCGACTGTCCGCGCTGTCGACCAAAGACACCTGGTTCAACAAAGAGGCTGTGCTGCTGATCAGTAAAGAAACAGGCGACTGAACAATCCTACACTAAACTTAGCAAAACACTTGAACCATACAGCGTTAAGCCAAAGCGCTAATCTGATAATGGCAGAGGACACCCGACAGGACAAGAGAGCCAGCTTCTCTGCTATATCGGAGCACAACACCAACGGGATGGCCAGGACCTCCGCTGTGGCCTCAAGCAAAAC